CAAAACCTCAGACTACAGCACATGCTGATGATGAGGATGTGAAGCAAGGGGAACACTCCTCCACTGCTGGTGGGAGTGCAAACTTGTACAACCATGCTGGAAATCAACCTGGAAGTATCTCAGAAAATTGGGAAATAGTTCTACCTCAAGGCCCAGCTATACCACTCCTGGGCATATACCCAGATGATATTTCACCATACCACAAGGACACTTGCTCAACTATATTCATAGCAGCTTTATTCACAATAGCCAGAAAGTGAAAACAACACAGATGCCCCTCAACTGAAAAATGGATAAATAAAATGTGGTTCACGTTTAATTGCTACACAATGGGATAGTAATCAGCCATTAAAGACAAGGACATCGTGAATTTTGCAGGAAAAAGATATCATCCTGAATTAGGTAACCCAGCCCCAAAAGACATAGTATATACTCACAAGTGGATATGAGCCATAAACTACAGGTTAACCATGCTGTATTCCACAGACCCAAAGATGCCAAATAACAAAGAGGGCCCAAGGGAGGATGCTTGAATCCTATGGAGAAGGGGAAATGAAATAATTATCTGAAGTGAATGGAGGGAGGGAACTGTATGGGAGAGATGATGGGCCGGGGAGCAGGCAGGGGGCAGGTCATGTATAGGGAGAGTTTGGGAGAGAGAATGGAAAAAAGCTGCTTGTAGGGGAAGGGGGTCATCTCTAGGTTGTGCCAGAGATCCAGGAGTGGGGGAGGCTTTAGGGAATCCGTGGGGGTGAATCTAGCTGAGATTCCTAGCAGTGGGACTTGTGGAGTCTGAAGTGTTCGTCTTCTATAAACTGTCATGACTCCCAGTGGAGGGACAAAGACAGCACCCCACCCACAAAACCTTTGACCTCAAATATGTCTTGCCTACAAGATGTGGGAGGACAAAGATGAAACAGAAATTGAGGGCATGGCCAACCAATGACTGGCCCAACTTGAGATCCACCCAATGGCTAGAACCAGTGCCTGACATTGTTAATGATACTCTGTGCGTTTGCAGATAGGAGCCTAGCATACCTGTCCTCTAAGGGACTTCACCTAGTAGCTGACTTGAACAGATTCAGAGACTTTAAGTCAAACATTAGACTGAGCTTGGGGAGTCTTGTGGAAGAGTTGGGGGGAGGATTCAGGGATTGGGGATGGGTAGGAACTCCACAAGGAGACCAACAGAGTCAACTAACCTGGACCATTTGGGGCTTTCAGAGACGGAACTACCAACTAAAAAGTATACAAGGACTAGGACTAGACACCCTCCTCCCCACATATGTAGCAGGTGTACAACTTGTTTTTCATGCAGGCCACTGTCCCTGACTCTTTGACTTTCCTGTGGATGCCATTCCCATACTTGGGCAGTCTTGTCTGGTCTCAGTGGTATAGGATGCAGCTAGTCCTGCAATGACTTGATGGGCTGTGGTGGGTTGACACACAGGGGTCCTACCCATTCTCAGAGGAAATGGGGAGGAGTGATAGGAGGAAGGATGTTCTGTGTGAGGAGGGACTGCGAGGAAGCAGTTGGGTCAGTGATCAATATGTAAACTGAATAACTTTCCTCTGTGGTTAAATATGTCTGTCTTACTTTATTAAACCATGTTCTGGTGTTTTTAGTAAGTGCTTATTCATCCAGAAACAATATACATATTTCCTAAAAGTCCTTCTAGTCTTCTTGATCGTCTAAGTCATAATTTACTTTTTGATGGGGTATTCAGGACTTGTTATGGTGGGAGAACTAGGTTGTGATGATGCCAAGTAACTTTGGTTTCTATTGCTTATCTTCTTGCGCTTGCCTTTCACCATCTGGTTATTTCTAGTGCTACCTTCACTCACTATCTCTGACTGGAGCCTGTTTGTCCTGTTATCTTGGTTGTGTTGGAACTTCTAAGAGTCCAGCTGTCTCTGTGATCCTGTGATCCTGAGATCCTGGGTTGTGAGAGCTCCTGGGAGTCAGGCTGCTTCTGGGCTCCTGAAATTCTGGTGTCCCCAAGCTCCTAAGATCCTGTGATCCTGTTATCCCAAATTCCTATGTGTTAGAGCTCCTGGGAGTCCAGGCTCCTCTGGGTGTTAGGGGATTGGGTGCAGAGCTGAAGCCTTAGGGCTGCTCCAGGTGCATGCACAGACAGGAAGGGTCCTGTGCCACTGGCCTTGAGGGAGTTCCTGGGTCCCAGTGGGTCCCAAATTATTCCGTTTGGGGTGGGTTGGGTTGTGGCTTACTCACCTACAATCCTGGGCATGTTAGAACTCCTGGAAGTCCAGTCTCTTCTGGGTTTTGGGGGTTTGGGTGCAGAGGTGAAGCCTTAGGGCTGCTCCAGGCTCAGGCGCAGGCCACAAGGGTCTGTATATACTTTTTACTCTACTCTGAAGTCTAGCTTCTCTTAGGCACTAGAGTCTCAGTCCTCAAGCTGAGAGAAGGGTCTGCTGAGTCTCAGGCTGGTGGCAGGTGAAGGCTTTGTTTTCAGTGTGGGTAGGAGTGTGCCCTGTTTGTTACCACAGCTGGAAACAGATGCTTCTGCTGAGTAGCCTGTGAGGAGGCTGTTGGTGGGAATGAGCTTTGAGCTCCCACCTGAGCAATAGGACTGATTTACAGCTTGTGGCTTCGTTGGTGGGAATGATATCAACCCACAGGTTTACAGGAATCCAGGGGCCACGAGTGTGTCACACATCTCCACTGGCTAGATTTCTGTAGTGTAGTGTTCTTGGATAATCTAACATTCCTGAAACAAGGGGAGGGGAGGCATGGGAGGCATGGGAGGCGTGTCCTGCGAGCAGGTTATGAGCTCACATGGCAAGGATGGGTATGTGCTCCATGAGTTTTGTCTCCTTATGCTTGACAATGATCATGAACATCACTGTGTAGCTTTCATGGTGAATTTTAGATTTAGAAAAGTTGCAATGAACCAAACAGCACAGACACTTAAGAGAGGTTACTGGATCTGGGCCTTGGCTTTTGGCATCCCTCATTTTCTCTGACACCCAGAGACTTGTAGACGGGCTCTTCTGCAAACACAAAGCCAGAAAACCTGGGAGTCATTACTTGGGACAATGAGAGTGGTGACTGTTAGTTATTCTTCTAGATGTCTTTCTCTAGAAGCCTGGGATGGGTAGTCTTAGGGCAGCTGTGAAGCCAGTGCCTCTTGTAGCCCAAGACCCCCTTAAGGTCACTAGTGATTCACTCACTCTTTCATTTATCTGTTCACACACAGCCCTCTGATTCTTCTGAATTTGCCCTTTGTGTCCTGGAACCAGAGTAAAAAAACCAAAAAAAAAAAAAAACCAAAAAAAAAAAAAACAAAAACAAAACCCAAAAAGCAAATGGACAGGTGAGAAAGAGGGTAGTGTTAGAAGTGATGCCAGGGAATAAAAAGATCACTGACACATTACAAAGAGAAGTGGTGTGGATGCTGGTTTTGAAGGTGTGGGAGCCTCAGGGAGTAAGACCTATAGTTTCAAAGTTACTCAGGTCTCTAGGCCATTGGGCCTGTGGGATTTAATTTCTGGTGTGTTTAATTTGTGGTAGGTTGCCACAACAGATGGGTACTTTGAAAGTACCATGTTGACCTGTGGGGCATTTACGCAACAGGAGTTTAAGGAACAATGGCTTAAAGTTTGTGGCTTTCATGGAAACCTATGGGGAAAGTGGACAATGGTCTGGGGAGAGAGATCTAGGACAAGGACACTCCTGAAGGCCATGGTTCAAGCACACATAGGCATTCCACTTTGGATGTCTTGAATAGGAAATGTAAGGTTGACCCCCCAAGGACAACAGGTGGAATGTGAGACCACAGTGCCCTGAGTTGTGAGGGGTGAGTACAGATTCTAATAGAATCCAAGTTCGTCAAAGGAGATAGTGAGAGGAATAGCCAGAATGGTGAAGGGAAGGTGCTGTCTCCTAGTGTACCCTCACTCCTGCTTTCCATACTACTAGAGAATAGGGTAAGGGAGTAAGAGAAACAGGCTGACACTGAGATCCTTCCCATCACCCTATGTTATCATCTTGACTCTTTATCCTACCAAAGGATGTTGGCTGATGCCTTGGTCTGCTTGGGTACTTACAAAAATAGACCTTGAACCAAGTGAATCATAAATAACAGGAATGTACTCCTCATCATTCTGAGTCTGAAGGTCTAAGACAAAGGTTCTAGCAATTTCCATACCCTACAGGACTCATTTCCACATCTATGGACAGCTCTGTTTCACTGTGTCTGGGCAAAGGGACTTTCTGCCTTGCTTAACAAGGACACTAACTCCAATTATGAGAACTCTTTATGATCTCCTGACCTTCTGGAGGGCTTACCTTCTGATACATTGATACAAGGATATCAGCATGAAGTTAGGGGACACACTTACCCCACAGCAGGTAACAGGAGAGTGTTACTTACCACTTGTTGCCTAGTACCAACTTCTTCTCTGAGTTCTTTTCATATCTGCTTTTGTCGACCTATCTCAGTTTAGGTAGGCGTGTACTGTCAATGTTCGTGATGGAGGAAGTGGCAATATAGGGACTCAGGGTCTTTTATAGGTAGTAAGATGAGGAGTCAGAACAAGCTAGGAATTTGCATGTGGAGTATTCCCTGTCACTGTTCCATTGCTACGAAGAGACACCATGGCCACAACAATTCTTATAAAAGAAAGCATTTAATTGAGGCTTGGTAACAGTTTCAGAGGTTAGTTCATTGTCATCATGGTGGGGAGCATGGTGGCATGCCAGTGGACATGGTGCTGGAGAAATGACCTAGAGTTCTGAAGAGAGACAGAGACAGAGAGACAGAGGGACAGAGAGACACCGGTCCTGACAGGAGCTTTTGAAACCTGAAAGCTTACCTGTGTTCTAGTGACACATACTTCCTACAACAAGGACACGCCTCTTAATCCTTCTAATTCTATCAAAGAGTTCCACTCCCTAGTTACTAAGCATTTGACTATATGAGCCTATGGGACCATTCTTATTCAAATGACCACAGTCCCCATTCCTGTCACCTAAGGCCCTGGTGTGAATTTGTGTGCATATGAGTAGGTATGCTCATGCACCCATGCATATCTGCCTGTGTTATCATTCGTGTGTATACACTGTGTTTGACTGTGATGTGAACACGTATATGTGTATATGCTTACGTGTATGTGAGAAGTCCACTGTGAGTTTAAGGTGAGAGGAGGGTATCTTTATTCACTGAACAATTTTCTTCAGTGTGACCCTGCTACCCCTCCCTAGCGGCTTCTTCACAGTTTGCCTCAGATCTCATGTGCTTTGAGTTTATGTTTAGACCATAGAAACAAACAAACAAATAAGCAGGAGGCAGGTGGGGTGAACCACAGCATGCTTATGGGATGATGGGGACTTGGAGGGAGGCAGGGGACAGGGATGAGTATAGCTGGAGCAGCAGGACACCTGCTTTGCCTATAGCCAAGGATGCCAGGCATTTTGAGTCTGGGAGGCTGGGTGGAAGGCGGGGATTGAGAGGAGGGCCGGGAGCTTCTCTCTGCATAGAAGGTATCTTCTTTGTGGGCTTCATGTTGAGGGAAAGCTCTTTCCTCTGTAGTTGCAGGATTCTGCTGTCCTGGTCTACTTCACCTGTCAGAGAGCCCTGAGGTCATACAGAGTCTGTTGCCTGAGAAACAGGGCAACATAGGCGCTACGTAGGACCCAGAAGCTTTGCAGTGTCCATGGCCTCCCAACTACTGGTGCATCCCTCAGCCCCCCCCCCATTACTGGTGCATCCCTCAGCACCCCCCAATTACTGACGCATCCCTCAGCCACTCCAAAAGTGCCAATGGGCAATGGGTTTCAGAATACCCCTAGAAGGGCATCTTACTTATGCCCAGGAAGGGTTCAGAAGGAGGTGGTTGGAGACCCACCTTGATGAAGGTGACAAAGCCACTGTAGAGCAGCGTGAGCAGGAAGAGGGCCACAAAGGTGCACAGTGTGGGCCACAGGCCATTCTCCTCCTCTATGTCCATGTAGCTGTCGCTCTGCTCATCCCTAATGCATGAGTGTGGGATGATGTTGACCATGCCTAGGGAAGAACTAGTGCTCATGAGATGGATTCCATCCTACAGCAGGACCGTTCCTTATTATCCTGGTCTCCTGAACATTGAACCTGAAGATACAGCTTTTACGTCCAGCAGCAACGTGTTGATCATATGCCCTTCTCTCGCTAGTGCTTATCACTTCCTGTCCCAACTGCCAACTAACGGTTTTGTCCCACGGAACTCTACCCCCAACTGCTGCCCCAGACTGCTGGGTCCTGGAGTCTCTTTGGTCTGCATGGAATTGGAAGACCTGAGCCCAAACCTGATATGAATCTAGATCACTGCCACCTGGATGGTGCAGGAGGTGGGTTACCACTCAAGGAGACCTAGAAAGAGCAGCCAGACCAGGTAAGCTTTCTCAGAAAGATGTGTCGTGAAAAAGGCAGAGAAGGGGGAGTAAAATTCTAAGGAAAAAAATAGTTTTCATGGTGGACACATTGGGACAGGGTACTACTCCAGAGTCAGAAGGAGCCCTGAGCCTTTGCGAGTGGAGGGAGAGATTGGAAAGCATCCTAGCCATGGTAACCTAATCCTAAAGGTAATAGGAGAGACTAGAAGACGTTAAAGATGGTTATGTCATAACTAAGCATGCAGATGAAAATCCTAGCTGGAGACTGAAGTGTGGTCTGATGTCAGAAAGGGTGGTAGCTGATGTGTAGACCTAGGGAAAGACGTTTGCACGGAAAGCATGTCTCAACTCAAGGCATCAAAGTCCAAGGGAGGTGGGAAAAATGAAGGAAAACACCATGGGTCACAGGGCTGCCTCGGTGTCCATTCCACAAGTGCTGTTTGAAGTTATATGTAAGCTCGGTTGGAGTCACTGTGAAGTCTGTGGATGGGTTGACCTAAAGGCATTTCACCGTATCAAAGTGAAACTACGTGAATATTATAGACCACTGAATCTTAGCATAATAGAAACACTTAGAAGTCTCTTTTATCCATAGTTTCCAGTTTCAATTACCTATGGTTGGAGAACAGAAATTGGAAAGCCTACTTGGCAGCTTATAACTGTTTTTAACTTTAATTCCAGGGGATCTGACACTCTCACATCTCTCTCTCTCTCTCTCTGTGTGTGTGTGTCTGTCTGTCTGTGTATCTATCTATCTATCTATCTATCTATCTATCTATCTATCTACGTATATATGTATATGTATATACACATATGCACAAACATACATATATACACATATATGTATATGCACAAACATCTATCTATACATATATATATGTATATATACACATATGCACAAACATATATACACACATGTATGTATATACATAAATATCTATCTATCATCTATCTATCTATCTATCTATCTATCTATCTATCTATCTATCATCTATTTATCTATGTAACTCTCAGGGTTATTGAACAAATTTAAGCTTTATGACTAGTCCTGACTGATGTTTTATAAGTTTTTGAGTATATTTTAAACAAGAAGTTCTCAGTTTTAAATCTCACACTTTGGAACAGGGTGATAGGCTCTTGCTTTGCCTGAAATGTCAGCCTTCCCTTTGTCCAGGCTTCGAGCTGTCCACCTGTCTGTCTGACTGTCTGTCAGTCAGAATCCATCTCAGCCTCAGGTTGATGGCTGACGTGACACATGACTTAGGAACACTCATGGTTTCAGGCATCCACAGGAGGCCTTGGGAGGGATCCCACAGAGGTGAGAGAGGCTCGTGTTTGTTCATTTCATTTATTGGTCATTTCTCACTGTGATTTACAGAAGTGCTTCTCTACAGTTTACTGAGAAGTGGAAAAGCAACTTTCCTTGTCACATGTACTATGAAGCAACTTAACTCAGAGGCAAATAAGCTAACCAGACATAGAAAAGTCTCAGGGGAAGGTAGGACCATCAGGACTCCTGGGAGGGCCATCTGACTCAGGCAGGAGGTGGTAGCATCCTAGAATCATGGAGAAAACTCAGATAAGTGATAAATGGGAACGTAACTGGGAGAGGGGGTTCTCTAGTAGCAGAAGCAGCTTTGAGAAGACTTGCCAGTGGGGGAGACTGGGATCTGCTCACACCCTGCAAAGTGCTGAGACTTCTTGTAGCAAGCGAAACTAGGAATGCTTCCCCAACCTTTTACACACCTCAGGTCTAATTTCGTTCATTTTTGTATCTCGTAATTACTGACTGCATGCTAGGTATTGTATATACGTGGATTGTAGAGTCTCGGGGTAAAATACAGGCCTCTCATTTACCAGGCACCGGAGGCCTGTTCTTTGGAACTGGGAATTGAGCTGTCCTGGAGCTGGGGGCATCATAGTTGACCTCTGGCTCTAGGTGCTTTGGGATATCCCTTATATTCAGCAGGCCTTGAAGCTGGTGCAAGATGGACATTCTTGCTACGTCCACACTGTGCTCCCAGGTGTTCCCTGCTTAGCAGTATCCTACGAGGGAGGTTAGGTGAGTGGTGACTAGCTCGGAATTTAGGACTCTTCTGTGTTCTCATCCCTCTTGGCAGCTAAGGTGTTTATTAAAATTTTGGCTGATTTCTTGGTGATTACAGATGTCCCTCTGTTTATCTGTGCCTAGGATGGGATAAAGCAGCCATCTCCTCTCATCTGGGAATTTAGTCTCTCTGAGCTTTGCTGAGCCGTTCTCTCTCTAGTAGTTTTAAATAAAATTGAGATGTTAAACGTTTACTTGACATTCTCCTTTCACCCTGGCATAAGTGCCTAATCAAATGTTCTTCCACATCTATGCAGAAAACAGGGTGTTTAAGAGAGAGCCTTGACAACAGGGTGATGGATGGGTGGGAGGGGCAGAATTGGCTTCACAGAGACAAGGGGAGAGTCAGGAGGTGCTCGTGGACCGAACAAAGAACATTATTGCTCCCAGGAGTTGAGGTGACGGAGAAGTGTTATGTAGGACTCAGGCAGATGTATCTACCCAGTGACATGTGAAACACGGAGTAGGGGGAGACCAACAGGCAGGACAAGGGGGAAGCCGGGAAGGAGATAGAGAGGCAGGTGGGAACGACCTAATGAAGATGACTACGGAGCTTGCGCAGGCTTCCCAAGCCTGTTGTGTGAGTGTGGGACATTGGTACTCACGCCGGTCTGACTTGAGCTCTGAGGGGTGATCTGTGAAAATCTGTAGTGAGATCCTGAGGGAGTCAAGTAAGAGAAAACCTTAGCGTCCTTTGAGGAAGTGATGCCACAGGGGAAAGGAAAAGGCCAATTTGCAAATGCAAAAGGCAAATGCAGGCCAGGCTCCTTTCAGCACTGAGGCACCATGGGAGAGGAGTGGTTCCAGCCTTCCCCTACCTGGCAGGAGGTAGGCCATGAGAAGCAGAGGAGCTGTAGCCTCTGTTCTCAGTCAAGTGCAGTGCAGCCAGAAACAGCCATGAACTCTGGAGGACCTCCTCACTGCTGGAACCCTGAGGATCCTGAGGCTTCCAGAAGATTCTGAAGCATAGACAATAGACCAAGCTTTCAAAGCCTGAAGCTAAGGCTGGTATACTGGCAGCTTGGCTGATACTGGCGTGGCCTCACGTGATTGCTACAGCCGCCTAGGTCCCTCCCTCGGTTTTGTGTACCTGGATGTGGTGGGTGTAGGTTGTGGACATACTGTGGCATTTCCAGAGTCTAAGTGGGGAAGTGTGGCTGAATTGGGCCTAGACTCTGAAGGCCACACTGAGGACAGGACTTACCTAAAGTTGATATGCTGGGGCACACATCGTGATTGGATATGATAATGCCCGAGGATGCCCCCCACAGCCTGTTCCATACCTACCACATTCATACTTAGGGCCCCTCAGGTGAAGCCTAGCTGAAACCTTTCAACCCCAAGCTTTTGTCAAGCTTACAGTGGCCCTTGGTCCTGTAGGCTCTCCAGCAGATAAGGGAAAGAAATGAGGCAGAGGACTCCCTGCCTCAGGGCTAAGGTATCAGAGAAGCTAGCATCTTTTATGGTATGAGATGGTATGCTTCCTGTTGTAGTTGTTGTTTACTCCCTGCTAGGGTGATAGGAACTCCTGCTCCAAAGTCTGAGCTGTCTGAGAGAGGAGGCTTTTGGGAACAGCCCTTGGCTGACCATCTTCTTTTACATGGTATGAGGTGGCATGCCTTCTTGAATTGGACCTGTAACACGTGGTTTCACTCGGATGGATTTCAGATGAGAGAAGATATTGCAACCCTTGAAAATAGTACACGTGGGATGGCATAGCAAGTGTGTGCTAAGGCGTGCGATTAAGACTTAAGCTGTCTGCCCAGCAAATCTCGCCTGTGTAATGAAGGAAGACAATGGGAAAAAGAAGCCCAGATGCTGCCTTCCACAGTGGTCTCTGATTCTGAAGGAAAAAGAAAGACTGATGGAGATGCTGGCTTGCTGTCTCTCAGAGCTGGCAGGGGATAATGGAAAGACAGTACAGATCAGGTTTGTGCTAAAGAGCTTTCCTGTGATCTGAAAATTTGGAACCCATGAAGGAGATAAGGAATTGAAGAGAGGACAGCATGCCAGATTCCTTCACAGCTTGGAGACACCAGACATGGAAGAGGCTAGAACCAGCATCATGAAGTGGAGAATCAGAAGTAGAACCGTTTATCCTCCCTCCTTTGTCCCTTTTGAGACAAAGACTTCATTTATCTGAGGAAACACATGAAAAATTGTTCCCTCAACATCTAGCTCCCCCCAAGAGGGAATGTTTTAACTCAAAGGAAACAGCCACCACTATGAGGGAAGCAGAATACCAATTAGACCTGTGCTAAACAGCTTTCCCTGGCATATAAACAACACGGACAAAAACCTGCAGATACGAGAGATACTCAGTTATTACTGGCTGAGGTACATCAGATAGGACTGAAAGGTCATTTAAAGTCTTAACAAAAAAAAAATGTAAACATGTGAGAAGTGGTGTTCAGTGCCCACTGGAGCGGGTAGGGATGGAAAGCTAAGGAGGGGCTGCTGAGCAGGACTAACTCAGATGTCAGTGACTTGGTTGAGCTTTGTTATAGAATGTGATCTTTAAGAGCAGCTGAGACTCTGATAGGCAGGAATGATTTAGAAAGATGTGCAAGTAGGGTGTGCGAGGTGCTGAAACATTTGGGAGGATTTTTTAAAAAGGATGGGAGAGAAGACAGTGGGTGTTATACAAGCTATGCCAAAAAAAAAAATGTGGCAAGATTTGTGTTAAGTCGAAGTTTCTAGAGAAAAAAAAAAACCTGACAGAAAATCGAATTCTGTGCTGCGAATCTTTGAAGGCCAAAAGTAATGAGAGCTTCCGGCATTCTCATGAAATATTCTGACCCTCTGCACGGCTGCACGCACAGGCAAGGTCTGTTCTTGCTCATGACATCAGCACATGGATGTGTGATGGGCAAGTATGTGAGGCTACTGGTCCCATGGGTCAGGCAGACTTGATAAAGCCCTAAGCCTCTCAAGTGAGGAATACAAATGTGCCCTCACCTACATGGATACTCCCACAGGCCTTTCCCAAGCATTTCTATATAAGCAAGCGGTGGGAAAAGCTGCCATTAAGGGTGTTACCCAGCCCAGTGATATCCATAGGCTTCCATAGAAAACTGACAATAAAAGGGGCAGTCGTTTCACAAACATTGATAGGAAGAGCGTGACTGAGAACAGCTGGAGCCAATGATGCTTCCACCTGCCTTACAGCCCTATAGTGGCTGGGTTGATAGAAAAAAAAAACCCAGTGACTCATTAAGACTTAAAACATAGGAAGCACTGTGTGCAGGTGGAAAAAGACAGTCCCTCAATCCAGTTTGTTTAATGGAAGCCCCAATGGCAGAGCTGGGCTACCTCTGCATGAATTATTGTCCAGGGAGGCCCCTAAGGAGCCACAAGTCACAAAAGTTATCGCCGTTGATTTTACTTGCATGCCAGAAGCAGATGGTAAATTCCTACGGCTAAAGACTTCACAAACTTTGGCTGTAAGACATACAGAACACGGGCTAGGACTAAGGTAGAAGCTGTCTTCCTGCTGGCTGTTTTTTTTTTTTTTTTCTCCCAGCTCTGGGAGATAGTACATAGGCTGTTGCCAACAGTCTCTCATGAGCATGGATTCTGAGTGCTACACTAATTGTCTTGCTATGTAAGATACGCTTGCTGGCGTAATAGTGGTACAATAGTGTTATGGGCACAACCAACTTCTTTCCTAGTGGATTTGAGCTCTGCTCTGCAGTACGGAAAACCTGTGGCTGGGAAGTTCATAGGCTCCAGTAGAGAAGCAATTGCCATTGTCTGTTAAATGGATGTCATGGACTTGTAAAATTGGATTGCAGGCATTTGCATTTATGCCCACAGCTTTCAACTTTACTTATGGAGAGAAGCATCATCTCGCAGTGAGCAGAAGTGGTTACTGGGGGAAATTCACACTTGGTCAAGCTGCTAATAAAATAATAAGTGACTGTTTCTGTGGGAACAGTGCCCCTAGAAAATAAATAAATATCTATATCACTTTCTTCAGGATTCAGTAAACACCACAGAGAAGAGGACTGAAAGAAAATGTTAAGTGTGGTAGAAAGGGTGAAGTGTTAGGTAGTTCTGCCTTCTAAACTGAAACAGATAAGCACAGTGTTCCTCTTATTGAGAAAATGTAGACCTCTTCTCCCCAAACAGGAATATTTGTCTATCATAGGTACCCAGTGCTATGCTTGCTTGACATTCTTACCCAGTTGTGACTTACCACGAATCTCCAGGCTCTTACTGGCATTAAGCTTGGTCTTGGAAGCCTCATGTTCCACCACACATGTGTAAGTGTCAAGTGAAGGGCTCAGAGTGGCTGGTAGTCTCAGGACACTCCAGGTCTGGTACTTGCCACCCTCAGGCTGTTGGGTGGAGTGTGCAGTGACAAAGTTCATAAGGTTCTTTTTACTGTGGGCACTCAGCCACATGAGGTTGATATTTTCGGGGAAGAAGCCAGATACTTCACACATGAGCCAAGATGACATCTCAGGATGGTTGGATGTGGTCAGGATGCTCACAGTGAGGTTGCTGGGTGCCATAGCCCCTGCAAGGAGAAGTGATAAGAGGCCTATCTTGTCATGCTTGGGCTGGAGGTATCTAGAGATGTGTGAGAGGACAGAGGAAATACCCTTTCTTATCTGGCTACAGTTAGGCTTCAATACTGTTGTGGGGAAGGACATATGATTAGGTGGAGCATTGGACAGCCTTGGGGTGGGGTGGGAATAGGTTTTATCTAGGAAAGAAGGCTGCCCTTGCTTGGGGCCCAAGGATTTGGTGAGGAAAGACCTATGCTGGAGACATTCTCCTGATCACTGTCTAGCTCCTGAGGATGAACAGACCTATGTTTTGTTTCTGTGTGGCTCTTTAGTATAGGTTTCTTTGGTACCCCATTTATTCTGTGTCCTCTATTCTGTATTCTGAAGGCCAGGCCAATCCTTGGCTTTCTATCTTCCAACCTAGCTAGATAGGCTGTGTGTGTGTGTGTGTGTGTGTGTGTGTGTGTGTGTGTGTGTGTGTGTATGCTTAGGTTAGGGGGCATTGCCAGTGAATCAGTAGGTAGAGATGATGAAACAGGGGATTCTTCCTTCTCTTGTACTTATGTGCTGTGGCTATCCCCGAGGTATGGAGACTGTTCTGAGCTGTCTCATGGAACCCTCAGATCCTGCTTAAGCCTGAAAGGTGAGGACATCTGCCTTCCTCTTCTGAGAGTGGCACTGGCCTTGGAGGTCCTAAGGGAGACTTTCTTTCCATTAATATTCCTTCCTCGTGCTCTCTGTGGGCAGTTTCTAGTTCTTGATCTAGCAGAGACCAGGTCCACCCTCTTGAAAGTTCTTAGATGTCATAGCTTTCTCTGTGTTCGTGAACATTCTTCTAAAACTCACATCTGCATTTCCAGGCTTACATAGCTACTAAGCCATAGATCTAGAGTAGTCCCAGGGTCACCTATAACACAAGAATTTGATGTATGGTTGGCAAGTATTTCCATAAATCCACATGTTGTCTCTTTACTCTATTACATGGGGATCTGGGTTTGTCCTCAGTGCACTACAGGTTGAGAATCATAAACTCAGGCTTGGGAGAATCATAAACCGGGAACTTCTCCAAACAGAACTTCTAGTTAGGACTTTTTCCTTGAGGTTGCTGATGGGTAAGGGTAAGACTTACCAGTTAGGAACCGATACAGTGAGACAATATAGTTATGAGAAGGTGGGAACAGCATGTGGGGTAGGATAAGTCCTTAAGTCTAGGTGTGATGGTCCCTAGCCCTCTAATGAGATTCTTATGCATCTCAGAGATGTCCTGTTGTCTGTCTGGTCTGGTCATATGCCTATAGAATCCATGAGGATCTCACAGTTTGGCTCAGATACACAGAGTTTAGGTCCTATGAGCCAGGTAGGTTCTTGCGCTTGTCCTTCCTCTGTTTAGCATTAGCTCAAAAAGGGATAACAGCTTCACAGGGTTAGGTGGTGGCATTTGTTGGTGCCTGGATATAGGGCCTGGCTTGCAATAGGTACAGAAGTCACTTTAGTAACCCTTTCTAACTAGGATGTACATTGACAACTCAGAGAAAGAGTCATGGAGGGTTTCTGGGAGGATGAGGTGTAAGGTTGAACAGATGAGTTGGCATAAGGCACACTGGACTTCTTACCTTTTATGTCCCTTTTGGTGTCAGTAGCTTTGATGGCTTCTGTGGTGTGATCCTTTGCTTGGGGAGCTGGAGTGGCTTTCTGGGAGGACTGAGAATTCCATGACTCTGGAGTCAAAGTAGATGGACAAAAGGTGACAGTGAGAGAGTAGAGTATTCTGAGGAGCCCAGGGTAACAGAATGCAGTGAGAGAGGAAGGCCACAGGACGGAATGATACTGGTGTGGAAGGGACCATGCATAGCTTGTGACTTCACACACCCAGCTCCTTGCACATTTAGTACAGGGTTTCCAAGGTATGGATGTAAATGTTGCATTGACAAAGCAGCTGAGAAAAGGGAGGGAATGAATGGAGGAAGGGTAAGGAAGGGGAGGGATCAAAGGTGGGGGAGGTCTTGCTTCAGTCAATCTTTGGGGGGTTAGCTGAGTGTGGGTATGGGAAGCCCCACAAGATCATTCAGCACGGCCCAGGGATACTCACCAGGCAACTTGAAAGTTTTTTCCACCTTTTTCTCTGGGATATCTATGATGCATTTGTGGGTGATGTTCACTTCTGAGGCCAGAATAGAGACCCAGAGGCTCATTGTATAATTGCTTCCTCTCTTTTCGGTGGGGAAGACATATCTGACTGTACTCGGTGCCAGTGTATCCAAGCTGATCTTCCCTGGCTGTGTTCCAATTGCCAAACAGCCCAGGTCCACACGTGCATTTCTCTCTGGGGCTTTGCACCCCGAGAGGATGAACATGTCAGGTTCTTTGCTAGGACCTGCAAGACAGATAGTGAAGTTCTGAGGATATGGAGCTGGGGACGAAGGTGAGGTCTGAACAACATCACTCTTCTTGCCATATGCATAAAAATGACTCAGTCCCAGGTAGACAGGGGAGAAGGGCTTTGAAGCCCTATGGCCAGTTTCAGGATCCTGTCTCTCTATGACCATCATCTTTTTCTAAAACCCCCTCAGGCTTTTTGGGAAGAGACCTACCTCCTACTCTTCTAAGCACCAATGATTCCCTCCTGCCCCCATGGATATAATTCTTCTGTGACTCTGACAGAAACAGTAAGCCTTCTATACTCTCAGAGCCCCTTGAACAGCTTGGAGCACCTGGGCAGAGCAGCCTGACTCCTCTCCCCAAGCCATGCTTTGGTTCTGTCTGCGCTACTCTTCCTTCTCAGGTTCTGGGATGTCAGATATTTTCAGTGTCCCACTCTATAGTATTCCAGAGACAAGCGAAGGATATGGGTGTAGACCTGTGACTCCCTCACAGACTTGCATGCAGAAGTTCTAAGCACAGAATACCAGCATCCATGTGTGGATATCAGGGTGTATCACCCAATTCCAGAGTCTCTTCTGCACCCTATGTCATATATCAACATCTATGTTAGTTTCCTTGGGCTGCTGGGGCAAAGTGCCACACGTGGCAGTTTGAGCAACAGAACTCTGTTTTTTCCCAGTTCTAGAGGCCAGGAGTGTGGGCTACAGCAGGCTGATGTCCTCTGTGCCTCAGGGAGAATGTGTCACAGACTTCTAGCTCTGAGGTCATGGTGGGTGGAATCTAGTGGAGATGAACTCATGCTGAATTAGGGTGGGCATCAGACCCAGTAGGACTGGGTTCTAGAAACATGACAGTAGGTTCAAAGGACATACAGTGACTGGGGTGTTGGTGCCAGAAGACAAGGATTGGTCAAATGCTATGGCTTCAGAGCTAGAAGTCGGTGACACATTCTCCCTGTGGCACAGAGGACATCAGCTTGCTGTAGCTCAGACTCCTGGCCTCTAGAACTGGGAAAGAACAGAGTTCTGTTGCTCAAACTGCCACGTGTGGCACTTTGTCCCAGCAGCCCAGGGGAACTAAAACAGATGCTGATATGAGAAGTAGGGTATTGAGGTGAATGCCTAAAATATATCCAGGATTTGGTGATGGACCCTATCATCTCTACAGTGGCTTCCCAATAGATGCTTGATGCTCTCTGCATCCTGCAGCTACTCACTAGAATCCCAACTCAGAAAGGGACTATCACCAAGGTGCTACCCCACACACTTATTTAAAGTCTCTCTTTAGGACCCTGGCATCTACACAGTTCCCTCCCACAGTCTGATGGTTTCTCCCATGCTCTGCTCCCAGGTTGTCCTCTCAATGTAGCCAGCTAACCTGGGCTTCCCATGTCTATGGGCTCCACTGGCTGTCCACATGATGAACAAGGGAGTACCCAGCATGGCCCACACCTTGTATTTGCTGTGCTTCCTTCTCTGAACTGAAGTCCATGACCTGCCTCCCTCTCCTTTCCATTCTTGCTCTGTGAGCAGGCCTTTATCTCTCCTCAGTGACTACAGCATCTCTATTCTGTTTCTTCATATAGTCATACAGCAGTTGTTATAGACAGAGAGTTTGAGTCCTGTAGTCCTCGAGTTATTGACTAACCTCTAGGGCTTGTCAATGTCGCAGAAGGGGTACAAACATCCAAGAGATCTCGGCCAACTCCCCCAAGGTATGACCCACATATCACAAAGGTTTAGCATAAGACCCAAAGTATTGCACTAGCTAGGGGCAACACCAGCCCAAGATGGTGGCCTGGGGTACAGAGCAGAGACCTAAGGCTAGAGGCTAGTTTCCAGATTCTGTTGCTTTTGGGAGATCAGGCCTGGAATTTTCCCTGCCCTACTTCCCTTCTTCCATTAGGGTGGATAAACCAGAGTGTTACCCATTGGCTGCCTGTGTTTTACTTTGCTGTCAGAGCTCTGTCTCTGTCTCTGTCTCTCTCTCTCTCTCTCTGTGTGTGTGTGTGTGTGTGTGTCTCCTTTTTTCCATATCTCCTTTCCCTCTTTCTCCCTTGAGCACCATCAGACCACTCCATTTCCAGTTCCCAAGCTCTATTCCGATAATCCTTGGGATGCCAACACCGCAGGAAAGGTTTGAAAACAGAACAAATTCTTTCACAATAAAGTGGGTTCACAAGATAAAGTATTTATTTCCCAGTGATGTTTGTATACAGCACAGCTGTCTGTGGTCCAGACATTGCTTCAGGTTGCACAAGTTGACAAAAAAGTCTTTGGTCAGTCTAGAAAGAAGCCCATCTCAGAGATCAAAGCTGGAGGGCAACACAGGAAAGATTCGAGAATTAGTTTATGAGTCATACAGGCAGGTACCCAGGCCCAGAGGTAGTGTCCCCGTGGGAGAGTCTCTTGGTCTCTGATGTCCTTCCATGCTGAGAGTCATTTCACCTGCAGGTGACAGAGACAGTGTGAATTGCTGTCCACTGGTAGGGAGTAGAGGTAGAGGCAGTGAGGACTGGTGACTCCCTGTCCCTGCCCTGTGTCATCAGCCCCAGAACCACACTACCTTGAACAGGGTGACAGTGGTGCTGTAGAAGAGGCTCAGGAGGAAGAGGACGATGAAGGTGGAGGCGGTAGTCCATAGGTTCTCAAAGCCTTCCTCCTCAGCATTCACCTCCCCCTCTGTGAAGGGACATGCAGAGGGAGGGTCAAGCCAAGCCTTGGGGTGATTGAGCATTTGCCTGAGGGTTGGGGGTATCCTGTTGGTTCTGGAGAATCTTAGTGAGTATTGGCTGGTCCCCCTAATAGCTCAAGCTAGACAGAGGCCCAGCACAGGTCAAGCTGGAGGACACACTAACTTGGAGCCTTGTCCCAGGAGCCTGGGGCAGCAGAGCAAGCAAGACAGATGCAGCATATGGACATGGGTAAAGGAAGACTCAGGAACTTTGGCATAATGATATTGGTGTGCTCTGGACTTTCTCTGAGCAGGTGGCACCACGGAGGCTGTTTAGACTGAGAAGTTAGAGCAGGTTTCCCTATCTCCTGGGCTTTGGGAATAAGAGCAGGGATACCAGAGGCTCTCCCTCCTTACTTCCTGAAGGACCCAGGCATCTCATGACTCTCTTTGATCAGAGTTCCCGTGTGTTGCTTGACCTACCCCTGCCAGCAATGTTGGGTCTTAGTACCAAGAGATAGACAGACAGTTACCTGAGGGAGGCTGTGGGACTAGGGTACTTATTGGGATCTCTGACTCCTGTTAAGATGAGCCCTTGGGGATATCTAAGCCCAGGCCCCAAATGGATATGAAGAATGTCCAGGATATGAGCCCAAAGAGGCAGTGTTATTGGGTGATGACTCCTTACAGAGGCCCCTTGCTTGCATGTGTGTGTGTGTGTGTGTGTGTGTGTGTGTTTGTGTATCTCAGCTTCTTTTGGATAATTGCATTATGTCTTCTGCATTCTGGACTGGAGAACAGAGTGGGTGTGAGTGAGTTAGGTACCCTCATGTTGGTCTTCTGTTGTGTTCTATTAATGGAGACACAGTCAAGGCTAACTTACTGTCATGCGTGGTTAGTGGAATATCTCCTGCCCCATGGTGTTGAGACAGAAAGACACACTTTGTTCCTGGAGTTATCTCCCCTAATCATAGAGTGGGCTCCTGAGGAGTGTCAGTGACCCAGCCTAGTGTGGGCTCTTTGAGCCCTGAGCTCTGGAGATTATGGCCCTGGTCAGAGTTCAGGTGTATCTCTCTGCCATGCTTGTCTATATGTTAGTGTACACATGTCAAGATGTTTCTGTACATGTGTGTGTATGCATGTTTTTGTGTCTATGTAGTTCATTTGTCTGTATTTGTCTATAGTCTGTTTCTGTGTACACATGACCACGTGTGTTGGTATCTGTTTCTGTGTGTGGTTGTGTGTCTATGCCTGTTTGTCTCTGAAGGCATTCATAAGTGTCCATGCATACATGTGTGCATGAACTCACGTGCATATGTTTGTACTTTTGTCTGTGTGTCCATGAATACACGTTTGTGCATGTGTCTACACATATGTATGTGTACTTCTATATCTGTGTATAAATGCATGTGTGTCCATTCATGTGCATGGTAGGCAAGCTTTCAGCCATATATCTAGAAATAGCTGGAGGGATGGCATGTTCACACTCTTGTCTGTTGTGAGCCTTTCTGGGTTCACACACAAGGAGGTAACTGGCAAGGTAGAGAGGCAAGAATGCAGGGTGTGTGCAGAGCAAGCATAACACAACAGTCGCCCCAGCAGGCACGAGCATTGTACAATCAAAACCAGCGACCTTTGAATGGATTTTTTTTTTATTTCTAATTTTTATAAAATGCAACATCTCACTCTGACATGGTTAGTTTGCATACACAGAGCAACTGGACCCCCCCCCAGGGCCTGCCTGGGTGAGCACTAGCATGGTCAATAGCAGGTGCCGCCTGTGTCAGACATGATCAGGGATACATTGTACAGTGTGGGTTTACCAGTGGACTTGTCCACGGTCCTCTCGGTCACCATGTGTGGTAGAGCCTCGTGGCCTACAACACAGGTGTAGGTCTCTCCGGAGTTCCATTCCTCCTCTGTCACAGTCAAGATGCTGTGGGTAAAGTAGAAGCCTGGGGCCCCGGGCTCTGGCATCGGGGCACTGGTCACATACTTCTCTGAGGGCAAGGGTTGCCCTCTCTGAAGCCACTGCACAAAGATGTCTGCTGGAGAGAAGCCCTTCACCAGGCAGGTGACTGTGGCCGACTCCCTCAGGACCAGTTGCTCACGGGCTGGTGGCAGCAGGTACACAGCAGGTGGATGTTTGGCCACCTCTGTAAGTGAAGACAGTAGTGAGGATAAGGTGGAAGGGGACATGCCCTCCCCATGAGGTACAAGAAGGGCCCTGGAATTGGAGGGGAAGGGAAAGGGGGAATACCTACCATTGGGTTTTGAGATGACTTTCTTCTGTGGTGAAGGCAGATCCCTGTGAGTCAC